AATAGGAGAAACTGGAGACCCCATAGCACACCCATGTTTCTGCCTATAATATTGGCCCCCATATGTGAAGTAGGTTGACTGCAGGCACAGTTTCAAGAGTTGACACCATTGCTCTGCAGAAAGCGTGGTCCTGCTGCTTTGAGTGGTGTCCAGAATCTCCTTGGAGCCAACCAAGAGTCTCTATCCAAGGTCTCACCGAACTCCTCCCACATCCGAGCTTTTGCCTCAGCAACAGCCAAGGCTGCACACCGCTTGGCCCTCCGACACTCCTCAGTTGCCTCCAGAGTCCCACTGGCCAACAAGGCCCGATAGGATTCCTTCTTCAGCTTGACAGCCTCCCTAACCTGGGGTGTCCACCACCGAGTTCGTGGATGACCACCGCGAGAAGCACTGACAACCTTGCGGCCACAGCTCAAGGCAGCTCCCTCAACAAGCGAGGTGCAGAACATGGCCCACTCAGACTCAATGGCCCCCACTTCAGCTGGAAGCGGTTAAAGCTCTCCCGGCAGTGTGAGTTGAAGATCTCTCTGACAGGTTCTTCTGCCAGGCGTTCCCCGCAAACCCTCACTACACGTTTGGGTCTATCGGGTCTGTCCGGCATCTTCCCCTGCCATCTGATCCAACTCACTACCAGGTGGTGATCAGTCGACAGCTCAGTTCCTGTCTTTACCTGAGTGTCCAAAACAAACGGCTGCAAATCAGATGACACGACTATGAATCTATCATCAAGCTATGGCCTAGGGTGTCCTGGTGCCAAGTGCACTTATGGACACCTTTATGTTTGAACATGGTGTTTGTGATGGACAAACTATGACTAGCACAGAAGTCCAACAACAGAACATCGCTCGGGTTCAGATCAGGAGGCCGTTCCTGCAATCCCGCCCCTCCAGGTCACACTGTCATTACCCACATGGGCATTGAAGTCCCCCAGCAGAATAAAAGAGTCTCCAGCTGGCACACCTTCCAGCACCCCCTGCCAAGGACTCCAAGAAGGCCGGATACTCTGAACTGTAATTCGGCACGTAAGCACAAACAACAGTCAGAGCCCGTCCCCCCACCCAAAAACGAAGGGAAGCCACTCTCTCATCTACCGGGGAAAACTCCAACACACAGGCACCACTTTGGAGGGCTACAAGTAGACCCACACTAGCTCCACGCCTCTCACCATGGGCAACTCCAGAGTGGAATAAAATCCAACCCCTCTCAAGGAGATCAGTTCCAGAGCCCATGCTGTGCGTCGAGGTGAGCCCAACTATATCTAGTCAGTACCTCTCAACCTCGCGCACAAGCTCAGGCTCCTTCCCTGCCAGAGTGGTTACATTCCATGTCCCAAGAGCTAGCTTTGGTAAGCCATCATCAGAGCGCCAAGGTCCCCTCCTTCGGCCACTGCCCATGGCTTTATGCACCCGACTTTTATGGCCCTTCCTGCAGGTGGTGGGTCCACAGGAAGGCAAACTCATGCTACTCCTTTGGGCTGAGCCCGACCGGGCCCCATAGGCAGAGACCCAGTCACCAGGCGCTCGCCGACGAGCCCCTCCTCCCGGCCTGGCTCCAGGGTGGGGCCCCGGTAACCCACGTCCAGGCAATGGACACTGAGTTCCTTGTCTTGTTTTGTCCATAAAAATCTTCTGAATCGCTCTTTGTCTGGCCTGTCACCTAGGACCAATCTGCCTTGGGAGACCCTACCAGGGGCAATTATAATTTCCTCCGACAGCATAGTTCCTAGGATCATTCAGGCGCACAAACTCCTCCACCACGATAAGGTGGCAATTCAAGGAGGAGATGAGTACAGACACCAGATATTTGGAAACATTGTAAGTGACAGAGTTAATCAATCTGACAATTGGTCTTAAAGGTACACCTTGTTTGTGGATTTTAGGTAAACCATACAGAGTAGGTGTGGCCTCCCCTGGGTACAGTCTGTGGTACATAATATGGTCAATAGCCTTGTCCTGCTCCAAATATTTCAGACAATCTATCAACTTCAAGGGAAACATTACTATTTCTCTCACTGACACACCGGCAGAGCATCAATTATACCAGAGTGCAAGTATTCTGTTAAACTGAAGCTGCACTTTATGAGTTTGTTTCTTCCTGAATAAAAGAGGCTTTATGGACTGTGGCTAATGAACAAAGTGGATACATGTGCGCAAAATTACAATTGAGAACAGGTGAGAGTGGGTGAGCTGAGAAGAAGGAACTGACTGAGGAGAAATGACTCACAGAAAGAGGAAACAGAGGGACAGAACAGAAACACAAAATACAAGGAAAAAATTATAACCAAAAAATGAATAAACCTAGAAAAGCTTGGAAAAAAACCCACATATCCTGACAGTATCCCTTTGAGAAATAATAAATTATACATCTAAAAAAGTTAAATCTGGTCCTCTGGACATTCAAAAAAAACCAAAACAAAGCAAAACAACAAAAAATGTAGAAACGTTTCGTCTCTCGTCCGAGAGACTTCTTCAGTCTGAGGTGCTGTTTTCAGCTCAGTCTCTTAGTCCAGAGGACCAGATTTAACTTTTTTAGATTTTTCTACCTGGATTATTGAGCATGCATCAGGAAATAAATTATACACTTGAAGTTCAATAAACTGCCAAATATTTGAGTAAATGAGACTTACTGAAATTCTTGTGATAAAAGCAGAGCTGGTTTTATATCGTGCTTCAGCTTTTATTCAGTAGTTACCACAGTACAGTTCATTCATTCAACCTTTATTTATACAGGTTACGAGTCACGAGGACTCATTTTCAAGAGAGACCTGTTTTAGACAAAACCACAGATACACACACAACAATAAACAGCTGTAAAATGCATATACAATGAAAAGTAAATAAAATTAGTGACATAAAACAAAATAAAAACAAGCTGAAACGGGGTAAAATACTAAAAGCAAGAACAGGTCTGCATTGATTTTTGCA